GGTTTAGGGTTTAGGGTTCAGGGTTCAGGGTTCAGGGTTATGGCTAAGAGAGTCAAAGGCAGCTTGTGGCTTTTGGCCTTAAGGGTCAGGGCTGCTACCACCTCCCCAATGGAGCGGCCCTGCATGGCATGCACATATTGTTTGGGGCTTTGGGTTTAGGGTTTAGGGTTTAGGGTTTAGGGTTTAGGGTTTAGGGTTTAGGGTTTAGGGCTGCTTCACAATCGCGGTCGAGTAGTGCCCCATGATCCCAAAGACTTTGCTCCTTCCGAGAGGCGTTGCTAGACCTCCCGGCCATGCCCGTCATATAGGGGTGGGAAGGGGAAGAACTACGAATAGTATATTCCCTTATGGCCCCTAAATTATTCTCAACTTACCCCCAAAACCCTATTCTGATTATTATGGCCCGTGTGTGTCCAGGCGAATTCTTGAACACACATCCTCCTGAGGACCCCTACTTGAGAGGCTCTTGGGACTAAACCCTAAACCCTAAACCTTGAACCCTGAACCCTCAACTCTAAACCCTGAGGCCCCCTCGTCTCTTCAGCTGCTCCACGACCTCCTCGCGGAAGGGAACGTAGCGCATGTCGTAGATGGCGGTGGGCAACCTCTCCTCTTCTCGAGTTGAGCGGTTTGGGGCTTTAGGGTTTAGGGTTTTAGGGTTTAGGGTTTAGGGTTTAGGGTTTAGGGTTTAGGTTTTAGGGTTTAGGGTTTAGGTTTTAGGGTTTAGGGTTTTGGGTTTAGGGTTTTGCGTTTTGGGTTTTGGGTTCAAGCTCCAAGCTCACAGAACCGAGAACTGAGGCCTGCTGTGCCAAATGCAAGTTCATCACGGCCAATAACACCAGTAGCATCCCCCCCCCCCCCCCCAAAAAAAAAAAACACACGTTCTGATTGAATGGGCGCCAAAATAATCTGTCCGCCGGCCCACCTCGTCGGAAACCGCGAGCGTCGCGGGATCGAGGATCTCGATATCATGCTTGAATCTCACATCCTCCGCTCTCCGGTCCTAGCAAGCAAGCTGCGCTCTCTTTTACTGGGTCGCCCCCGTGCAAGTATGAAAGCCGAAACTTCAAGGGCTTAAACCCTAAACCCTAAAGAGTGCTTGCCTGGAAGTGTTACAAAACCCATCAACTATCAACTGCGAATGCAGCGGGCCTGCAAGCGCAGTGTGCAACCTATGGACCTTATCAATGAATATAAGCTTGCCCAGCCTCTTGTCTCACAACACAAATGGGGTTTTACGAAGATGGGGGGGGTACCTTATTAGGGTCCCTTATAATAAGGGAATCTTCCTATTCGGAGGTCTACATTAGGGGTCCCTTATTTTAGGAAACCCCCAAATGTCCATTCAGACTGCAAACTCCTGTGCAGCATGTTGGGTTTGGGGGTGGGGGGGTAGGGGTTGCTCACGTTTCCACGTTTCGTGGAGAGTCCTCGATGCCCGGGTGCTTGGTGTAGTGGGTCCTCGGATGTGGGGGTTCCGCGTTTTTGGGTCCAGGGCTTGCGAGGCGTCCGCGAACTGGGGGCCTAAAGGGCTTCGTAGGATCTTAAACCTTAACCCCCTGCGGATTCTAGAATGCAAGCTTGTAGATGCAGCAAGACTCGTACCAAGTTCTTGCATTCCTGCTTATGCCTGAGTCCTTGCTTGCCATACAATCACCTAAGAATATAGGGTCCAAAGCAAACATGAACCCTAAACCTTAAACCCTGAACCCTAAACCCTAAACCCTAAACCCTAAACCCTAAACCCTAAACCCTAGACCCAATCTAGTCCCCAACTAAGGGTCTTGGGCTGGGACACCGTCAGCTAGAAACCCTAAACTTTGCAAAGGCCCGGTGGCCTCTCTATCTGTTACCCCTTATACCTTAGGGTTTAGGGTTTAGGGTTTAGGGTTTAGGGTTTAGGGTTTAGGGTTTAGGGTTTAGGGTTTAGGGTTTAGGGTTTAGGGTTTAGGGTTTAGGGTTTAGGGTTTAGGGTTTAGGGTTTAGGGTTTAGGGTTTACGCTTTTGGATTTAGGGTCTAGGGCTTACTACAGCCCCTCGATACCCTAAACCCTTTTAACCTGCCTGAGCCGCATAAGCTTTCGCCAGGCAGCCCCACCATGTCAGGAAGGTCGAGGCCGCTTTGGTCTTTCCTAAGGCACCAGGAACACAAGGGTCGGATCTTGGAGCTCTTTAGCTTAGGGTTTAGGGTTTAGGGTCTAGGGTTTAGGGTTTAGGGTTGAGGGTTTAGGGTTTAGGGTTTAGGGCTTAGGGCTTAGGGTTTAGCGTTTAAGGCTTTGGGCCAGGGTTTGGGGTTTAGGGAGCCCCTACCAACAAGCTACCCTCTGTTGTCTCGCTAGTTGTTGACTGAGATTGGCAAATTAAAAGTGAGTGCATGGGCATGCGTCTAACCAAGAACTACAAGCCATAGTGCCTGGGCAAACTTTGCGGGTGGGAGGGGGGGGGGGGGGGCCTAGGTCCTGGTCCATGGGAATTCTGTGTGCCGAGAAGATGATTTCAGTAGAACTGGGGGTGTCCAAAATAGGGGTAGCCTTTGAAGGGGTTCCTTTGAAAAGGATAAGAGCATTTTGGGGTGCATGAGGGGCACCCCTGCTTTCGGAAATCCCCAGAGAGCATCAAGGGTCCCCTCCTACCCTCCTCTACACTACCCCCCCCCCCCCCCACAGGTTGCCCCCTTACATAACCTTAATAAAGCAGTAGCCTGAATTCTGGGGGGAACTAAGGGGGGGTAGCCCTAAACCCTAAACCCTAAACCCTAAACCCCTTTCTTACAGGGGGTAGTAGGGGAGGGTTCCACCAAGCTGGGGTCGGAAAAACAAACCCGAACCCTTAAACCCCAAACCCGAAACCCGAAACCCTAAACCTAAACTAAACCCTAAACCCTAGTCCCTAAACCATAAATCCTTTTTGCAATCTTGGGGACTCCGGGATTTCCCGCCGCTTGCCCTTGCCTGCGTTGTTTTGGGCTGTAGGGTTATAGGGTTATAGGGTTATAGGGCTGTAAGGTTGTAGGTTTGTAGGGTGGTGGGGTTGTGGGGTTTAGGGTTTAGGGATTTTGGGTTTAGGGTTTAGGGGGGCTCTCTAGGGCGGGTGTCAGGGCGTAGGGCTTTTAGGGTTTCAGGGTTCCAGGGCTTTAGGGCCTTAGGGCTTGAGGGTTTTGGGGTTTAGGGCTTTGGGTTTTGGGATGTAGGGCTTCGGCTTTTTTGGGGTTAAGGGTTGCAGGGTTTAGCCAGAAGGCTTCGGGCTTAAGGGAGCTCAAAACATTGGGGCATTAATGGGATATACGAGGGCGAGGCTTAGAAATTGAGGGATTTGGGGCGTTGGGGCTGTAGGGCTTTTCGGGATTTTAAGTTTGGTGGTTTAGGGCTTGGGCTTTGGGGAGTTCGCGATTTCTGGCAAAAATGGTGAGGGCTGTACGGACTCGGGGATCTGGGGATTTCGGTTTCAGGGTCTGGGATTTCAGGGTTTCGGGTTTCATGCAACTTTTGGTGTTTTTTTTGCTTGAGAGTTTAGGGTTTAGGGTTTAGGGTTTAGGGCTTAGGGCTTAGGGCTTACGGCTTAAGGGCTTAGGGTTTCGTGCTGCTGGCCTTGCCAGCCTTTGCCGTCACCTCTGCCGTCGCCTTTGCCATCGCCCTTGCCATCGGGCCAGCTCTCTGCCCGGCCCGAACTGGTCTGCGCCTCGACTGGAACTGTGACCCCAAACCCTAAACCAAAAACCCTAAATCCTAAACCCGAAACCCTAAACCAAAAACCCTAAATCCTAAATCCTTGATAACAATAATATGTTTAATATCCTCTTGGGTTTTATGTGAAGCTAAAACCCTAAACCAAAAACCCTAAATCCTACTTGGAGGTTACTAACCAATTATAGCTGTCCTTATAAGTGTCCTTATAACCATATTAGCGCACTTAAGGGGCTTATACGTGGGGTATAAGTACAGTTATAATTAGTTACTAAGTACCATGAACCTCCAAGTAAATCCCTGATAACAATCATATGTTTAATATCCTCTTGGGTTTTATGTGAAGCTGCTTACTGTTGGTTGGTAGGGAATGAGGGAGTGAGGTACCCTATATCAGATTATCATCCCTTAACGGGTATGTAGGGGAAAAGGGGGTGCCTCATTCCCTCATTCCCTACTAACCAAACGTAAGACTGTGGACACCCCAAGCCCTACTTGGAGGTTCATGGTACTTAGTAACCCAATTATAACTGTATGTATCACCCAATGATAACCCTATTAAGGTGCTTAAGGGGACTTATAATGGGTTACTAAGCACCACGAACCTCCAAATACAACCCTGAAACCCACAAAACCCCTAACTCCAGCTGCTAGCGAAACCCCCAAACCCTAAACCACAAGCAAAATGAGGGAGGGGAGTGTACCGGGCCAATCTTGTTAAGGGCTTGGGGTTAAGGGTTAAGGGCGTTTTAGGATTTAGGGTTTAGGGTTTACGGGGCTTGTTCAGGCCGTTTTTGCAGAATAGGGGCCCTCACACGCCCCATGGTTTCTTATGGTAAATACAACAACTCGTCAAAGATGCAAACAAACTAAACCCCGCAACCCTGAACCACAAAACCCCCCCAGACCCTAAGAACGAAACACCAAGTCCCCAAACCCCTGAGCACCGAAACGTCGTCCTGCAAAATCCTGCGAACCCTACAAACTCTAAGCCCTACAAACCCTTTCACCCCATAAACCTAAACCCTATAAACCCGAAACCCTAAACCCTATAAACCCTATAAACCCTATATAAACCCTATATAAACCCTATAAACCCTATAAACCCTCTAAACCTGTACACCCGGAACCCTATACCCTAAACCCTATCGCCCTTTCTCGCCTGCATGGCTGCAAAGTGTCCCTGTCTCCTGAGCTGCAGCAGCTCGAAGAATCCTCGCATGCCGAGCGGCCTTTCAGGCGGCGCGAGAGCATGCCTGGGATTCGAAAAGTCTCAAAGTTTTTGCACCGAACTTGAGGCCCCCTTCCAATCCTGTGTTACTGCGAAGCACCCGAGAAATAACAAAGCAAGCTGTCGGCTGCACGATCCAATTGCTTAATGCGCGCCCGTGCAATGGGCGTGACCTCACTCAAGAGAATCTGAGCTGTTACCTCCTGTAGGTAACATTCCAGTGTGCGCGCGCGGGCCCATCGGCCTCGCCATGCCAGCCAAGGGATGTCTTCGGTCGCAATGTAGTAGTGCGTTGCTCCAGAACCTCGCAACATGCCAGGCGTGGCTCCTTTGTCTGCAGCCCAGCTTGGGAGGCCCAATCGATCCATGATGGCATTCCACTGCCGGTGAAAGGAGTACAGTGAGGCGGGGTAAACCTTATCATCGGGTCCTAAACCTACAACCAAAGACCACAAGTAGGCGATTGCAATCTCGTCGTCGATGCGGCCATGCTGGCGCCGGGCAAATCGGGAGGTTTTGGGACGCCGAAGGTGTATGAACAAGCTTCGTGTGTGACCAAGCGTGTCTGCAGGGAAAACTAGATCTTTCCGAGTGAGGTCCACAAGCTCTCCCGGATGCAACATGGCCAAGAAACCTATTATAATCAACCCCGCCCACTTAAACCAACCCCAAAGAAGCCCTACGCTGATGGCAGCCCGCACACAGGCGGCCGGCAAGACTGGCCGACACGAGCCGGGCTCGGCCCTTTGCCATTTTCGATCGACCTGCCAAGCTGGTGTCAAAAAGTTGCGGAACTGAGGAAAGCGATCCTGGACTGTTGTGATCGAGTAGACGTAGATGTAGCGTGGCATGCCCTGCTCGTACAAGTAAAGTCCGAAGGCCCGCCGGTCGTCTCTGCAGCTTGGAACACTTGCTCAGGCTGAAGCAACGCCACTTCCAGGAGCCAGGACAAGAAAGCTGCCCAACTCTTACGCATCTTCTGCGCTGTCGAACTGGCGAAACCAGCACTCAAATCCAGCGGTCCACGGGCTATAGTCTTTTGCACTGTTACTCTGGGGACAACGTTGCAGACGGGCCCACCCGCCACAAGGATGTGCCAAAGCCTCAGCGAGAAGAGCCGCGCTGGCTGATGGAGCTGATCCAGGGCAGAAGTGAGCGCTTCGAGAAGGTTGTTGCAGCGTCTCGAGTGGCTTCGTTTTCTTCTCCTTTTGGCGGGAGACATAGAACGGAACCCGGGCCCCGCTCGGGCCCCCAACACATATCCAAGACACCCTTGGAGAATCCGACTAATGGCGAAACTACTGGAACGCCCTTTGGCAGCTGCCCCAATGGTGACTCGGGAGTCGAGAAGGGCTACGGCGCGAGGAGATTGGGGCCGTTTTGCAACTGACTTCACGCAGCTTTTGAAGACACGGGCTTCATTAACGTTGATATGCCCAGGCTTGGCAAAAGCATACCGGAACAGCTCCCTGAACCGAAGCGATTGGCAAAGTTCTGCAATCCATTCGGGGTCCTCGAACCAGTCCCGTGGAGGGTACGGTTTACAATCGGCTCCGCAGCTCGGTGCGAAACGAGAAGCATCCATGTCAAGCAGTCTGGCAGTGAGTTCACGGGCCTCTGGGGACATACGTGGAAACTTCCTGCGAGAAGCAGCGAGAGATCCCGAAGCCATTCGGCACGTCAGCCCCAAAGGGTAGGCCTCTGAAAAGGTTGCCACACTATCGCCAACCCGTGGTTCGAAGCTATAGACCTGATGCACAGCAGGGAGACAGCGGGACTTGAACTCAGTCAGGCGCTCTTGGCTGAAGTGTCCTCGTGTGCTGAAAATGCGCTCTTTTGGCGTCGCATTTACAACCGCCTTCTAGTTTACACAACCAGGGCTGATTATGCAACCACCTAGACCGCTTAAGGAAGGGGCTCCCGTAGAAGGCTTCAGGGGTTTAGGGTTTAGGGTTTAGGGTTTGGGGTTTGGGGTTTGGGGTTTGGGGTTTGGGGTTTGCGGTTTAGGGTTTAGGGTTTATGGGGGGTTTGGTAACCCTCAAGGCTGAACCCTAAACCCTATAGGCTTCAGGGCCCTAAACCCTGAACCTGAACCCTATGTCCTAACCGCTTTTTCCCGTTGACGCTTATAAGGGTGGGGAACTAACGTTTGGTGGGTTTACAGGGCTTGGAGAGGTGGGTCTGCAGGGTTGAGAGAACCTTGGGGACGAAATGAACCCGAAAAGGGTTTATGGTTCATGTACCCTAATAGGAATTATAGTAGTATAGCTTATAGGGCCCCAATTTTAGGGTTCATTTCGTCCCCTAGGAAGTGCTCGAAACAAATCAAGTCACCGAGCCTCCGCAAAACACGATCCATCGGACATGGCGGCGGGCGCCCAGGCAGACGGGAAGTTGCCACAACTATTTAGGGTTTAGGGTTTAGGGTTTAGGGTTTAGGGCTTCTAAACCCTAAACCCGAAACACATAAAAAGTACATGTTTTAGAACCATCTCCCCCTTTCGCCCTGCCAGGAGGCCCTGAATGAGGCTTTTAGTGGGAGGGCACGCAGCCAGGGCGCTTTTGGAAGGGTGCCCTGACATCTTCTTGAGGTCGCCTTAACCCTACTTCGGGAGTAGACCCTGGAAGAAAAGTATGTACTTTTCTAGGTAGAAGTAGCTATAATAGGGAACCCAGGACAACAACAAAGTAGTAAAGTATGGTATATACTTTTCTAGGTATGAGTAGCTATAACAGGAACCCGGAACCAAGAAAAGTTGTAAAGTATGGTGCTCCAAACCCAGTAAAGGGTACAGATCCTTGGCTGCTCACAGCTGAAGCACTAAACGGCTGCCCAGGCTGGCACAGTTGGGCACAGCACAAACCTAACTACGGCCCAGGCGTTTTCCGTTTCCTTTGGGGTTTAGGGTTTAGGGTTAGGGTTGAGGGTTGAGGGTTGAGGGTTGAGGGTTGAGGGTTGAGGGTTGAGGGTTGAGGGTTGAGGGTTGAGGGTTGAGGGTTGAGGGTTGAGGGTTGAGGGTTGAGGGTTGAGGGTTGAGGGTTGAGGGTTGAGGGTTGAGGGTTGAGGGTTGAGGGTTTAGGGTTTAGGGTTTAGGGTACAGGTTACCTACTCTTCTACTAAGATTCAGAGTCTGGAGGGTTCGTCTGCAAAAGGGGGGCAGGAGGTGATGTGCGCAAAAAATCCTCGCAAAGGTGACGCTCTTGTAAGGAAACTAATCGGTGGCTGCACCACTTCTCCCAGCAGAGGAAACCACTAGGGGGGGAACAAAAAGCAGGGCTAGCAACTACCCACCTGACCCTGTCCCAGACACATGGACAAGATAGCCCGGGGGAATCGATGGGTCTCAGATGTTCGGTAGGACACGTAACTGGCCTCCAGCCTGAGAGTCAGTGTGTGCCCACCATTTATTGCGACAGTGAGGCCGCGATAAACATCTCTAAGATGGAAGGGCTGAGGAAGCTGAGACACATCGATTTGAGGGCGTGCTTCATTCAGCATGAAGTCCAGTCGGGATCCATTGTGGTCAAGCCCGTCAGAGGCAAGGACAATCCCGCCGACATCTTCACAAAGAGTTTAGATGGTCCCACTACACTTCGCCACATGGCCGCCTTGGGGCTCGGGGAAGTCCAGCTAGGAAAAGGGTTTGCATGTGCTGCGGGTCTTCTGAAGGGTGTTGTCGAAAGGGGAGTGGGGTAGGGCTTAAGAAGGGCCACAAGTGGCTTCTGATCGAGTTCTGTGCCCCTCTCGACTCCAACATGCACCGGGTTGCAAAGGAGGAGTTTCCGAAGGTTTGTGTCCTTACCGTTACCGAGAGGGATGACGGGAGGAGACCGGAGACGGTCACTGCCATCAAGGGTGTTATCGCATCCGCCTTGGAACGCGGGGTCCGCATCTTCTTATGGTCCTCCATGCACGGGGGGGTGCCCGTATCAGCGGATGCATCTGCAGAGACAGGGTTCCGCCTACTAGGGTCATTTACACGGCCTGTGGGACTGCCACAAGCGTCTGTGGAGTAACTTTGCCAGCCTGACGAAGTACACACACGGGTGGGCCATCGAGTGGCCAGCCCGCTGCGCTTACTGGTCCTGGGGTCAGACCCAGAGCTTTCTCCGAACCTCGCGAGCGACCTTGTACGACTGTCGTGTGGACGCTTGTGCTGCGGGGCTGAGAGGAAATGACGGGGAACTTGTGTCGAAGCGTTGGAGAGTGGTTTACACCAGGGTTTTCAGAGGCCAAGGACTATGCTGTGGTCCTCTTCCAGCGGTTGGGTAACGAACTACTCGAACCACAGCTGCTTTGTCTTTTCGTCTTAGCTGCAGGGATGGTTGCTGGCCACCTCCTTACGTATGCCTACTACCGCCTTGTGGTGAGACAGCTCCGGTAGCTGCAAAAACACATGGTGGTCAGAACACAGCCAAGTTGAACCAAGCTTCTGTAGCAGTGCATCCGATAATGGCAAGAGGCAGCAGGCTGTTCAACCGAAATCCATTGGTCACACAGCAGAGCGACGGTCAAAATGAACGCGCTTCGCCGAGCCAGGAGGCTACGCGTTGCAGTGAAAGGTTGAAACCCGCGGGTTGCGCATGGTTCCGCACCGGCGGGCGACGTAACGAGCCGAAGCTGGTACACGGCATGCCGCAGTGCCACTCGCGCACGACACGCCGAAGTGCCAGGGCCAGAAGCTCGTGGCACACTCCCTTATCCAGCATGTCGCACTTTCTCAAGCGCCGCCCATCGATGTCGTAACCATCATGAACCCTGAGACCTGCCCTTTCAAGCGAAGCACTCCAAGTCCCTGTACCCCGAAACAGCTCGATGGCATCAAACAGAACTCCTTCCGAGAGAGGCCTGGGCAGAAACGGATCAGGGCATGGATGACTAAGCAACTCTTCTGGGGTCTGAGCAGAGACTCCGAAAACTTTGTCGCCCGCATGTGGAATGCCCTTTTCAGTAAGAAGAGCCGAAACCTCTGATTCAAGCTTGGTGTGATACCCCCGTAACTCCCCATGCCGCCACAGCTCTGCTGCCGCCTTTGGACCGACATTGGCCGCGCACACAGCGCCCCAAGTAGGAGAGGCATTAAGGCAGTAGATGTGCTGATCATAGCTCGCACGCAGATCAGTCAAAAGGGCGGGGCTAAGACACGACAGCATAAGGAGCTCGTTCCGAGCCTGCGCACTCAGTTTGAAAACCTCATTTCTGACTAAACCGGAACCCTCGCGGAACACTTGATCAATGACCGAAAAGACCGGGCGCCGGAACATGATGGCGTGAACCCAACTGCCAACCAACCGCTCAATCAGCTCTTTGGTCGCATGACCTTTTCGCGCCACTGCCGAAGTAAGCAAAGATAGGCTCATGATTCGATCACGCGGAGGGCCAATCACGCCCAAGACACCATCAAGTTCAGCGCCTAAATTGTCCCACTGGTCAGATTACGCCGCTTCTTGTCCGAGTTCGAGTTGAGGCCAACATGTGCATATGCAGTTGAAGCATTTTCAAACACAACGGTGTCCCGGAGGCGAGGTTGGAAGCGCATATCCGCGAGCGGCAGCTTCTGCAACATGACATGGTCGTCTATCGCCAAGAGTTCTACTGAATCCCCTTTCGGAACCGCTTGTCTATACGCGAGAGTCTCCTCTGGGATGAAGGCGGAGGCTAGTTCTTGCAAGACATGGTAATGGGCGCCTTGTCCTACTTCAACAGCTAAGCTGTCGCCCATAGCCACAGTGTTCAAGGAGAGAACCTGCGGCCCCTCCAAGTCTTGCCCCTGTGCGGCATGCAAGTGCTGAACGTCCTCAGGCTGGAATTTGCAACGGACGCTGTTCTTGAGTGCCCTTTGGGGACTGA